GCGGAACCAATGAATAGTATCAATTGTAAATATTCTAGAAATGCCATATTTGTAATACTATTGTTGTAGGCTAATTAAACATTTTCAATTTTAAGGAAATTTTGTTAAAAACGCCACGTATTTCTGATATTTTTGTGTAAATATAAAACAATTTTTTGTTATCGTGAAAATTTACTAAAAATTTAGGTTGGATGACAGTTAATGTCAATTATTTATTGTTGTTGTTTTTATTTGCGAGGTGTTGTCATTATTGTGAATGTTCATATGTCTGATAAGGAGTGCTGCCATATTTTGGTTATATTTAAAAGAACAAATTATTAAAATAAAGGGAAAATTTGGAAATAATAGTAAAAATTTAACGTAGTGTATTAAATACAAACGTCACTTTTAAATATACTTTAAAATAGGGTTCTATAAATCGACTTTCGAATAATCGAACAATCGACTTTCTGTCGAAAAAAATCGAAAAGTCGAAGTCGACTATTTTGTTCCAAAAAAGTCGATAACTCGACTATCGTCTGTGAAAAAAGTCGACTTTGTGAATAAAAGTCGAAAAAAGTCGAAAAGTCTGAAAGCCGAAAAAGTCGAAAAAAGTCGATAAGTCGAAAAAAGTCGAATAAAGTCGAAAAAAGTCGAAGAAAGTCGAAAAAAGTCGAAAAGTCGTAAAAAGTCGAAAAGTCGAAAAAAGTCGGAAAAAGTCGAAAAAAGTCGGAAAAAGTCGAAAAGTCGAAAAATCGAAAATTGTAGAAACAAGTCAAAAATAGTAAAAAATTTAAAAAAAGTGGAAAAAAAAGTCAAAAACTCTAAAATAGTCGGAAAAACTCGAAAAAAGTCAAAAAATAGTCGGAAAAAAGTAGAAAGAAGTCGAAAATAGTCAAAAAGTCGAAAAAATCGAAAAGTCGGAAAAAGTCGAAAAGTCGAAAAAAGTCGGAAAAAGTCGAAAAGTCAAATACTTATAGTCGAAAAGTCTAAAAGTCGACTTTTATTTAAATTAAAAAAGTTGAAAAGTCGAAAAATCGACTTTTCATAAAATGAAAAAAGTCGAAAAGTCGACTTTTCGTTTCAACTATAGAACCCTACTTTAAAAATTAAGATTTCTTAATAATATTACCTACAAATCTGGCATCATTTTGTATATAGTTATAATAAAACAGAGTTGGTTTTGTATTTGGCCGTTATGTTCTCTGTTTATATCTCTCAATTACCGTAAAATATATATAAATATTCTCTCTCTATAGATAACATGCTCCAAAAATATGAACAAAACAACAACATCAAATATAAAAGAAAATATAAGCAAAAAACTATTTTCGCAGATACACAACTGAATAGAAAAAGCAAAGAAATTTTTACGGAAGAATAATTTTTTTAAAAGAATTTAATTTATTAAAAAAAATTATAAAAATAAGCAATATTTTGGGTACAACCAATTTAAGAAACCACGAAATGTTAATATATTAAAATAATAATACTAAATCAAAACATAAAAATGATTCTATTAAAATTAGTAACAACCTTGTGCTGTCTGGTAATGGCCTCGAAGGGTCAACTTTTAGATCAAGCCTCAGTGGGAGAATTATATACCTTCAAAATTGAACCCGTTATGTTTAACTGGACACATCAAGTGATTAATGAACAATTTCGTTATACTCCCTCTTTGAAATCCTATCCAGATTTGCCATCTTGGATGCGTTATATGTATAGTCAGGAACATCATGCTGGTTTTCTGTATGGCACACCACCAGCCGAATTGGCCGCCAAGACAATTACCTTGGAAATTGTCGCATTAAATAAACAAAACTATGAAACGCGACGTTCGGAGTTATTGATAAGAATTCAATCGAAATTTCATGCCCCCAATGTGGTGCAAATGAAAATTGATAATTTAAATTGGGTACACTTAATGGATCCTGGCAGAGTGGAGAATTTACGTAATATTTTCCGTAAGGATTTGTGGCCAGAAAGTGATGCCGATTTAAGTTTGGTGTTTATGGAATCGGCCGTAAACATGGGTGGCCGTTTGCCCTTGAGGCCTCAACAGCACGAGGGGTATTTAAAACTGTTTATTAAGTACATATGTATGTATATCACTAGATTATTATGTTTTTTATCATATTTTCAGAGTCATTGTCCACCTGGGTAGTTTTGCCAAATTTTCCGAACGCCTTAAACAGTTACAGGAGGAGGTGCGTCCTCTATATAAACTGCCCTCTTGCACCTACAAACGCACTTCAGTTCAGAAAATATTCGAAAATGTTGGCTTTAAACTTGACTGGTGTGCCTTTAAAATGGTGGGTGCCGAAATTGATCCTGAAGTTTTACATCATAACCATGATAGCTCCAATAGCAACAAGGTTAATGCTAATATGGTTGAAACTGGAAATTTGAGGAGACGTGAGGATCGTTGGCATGGTTTGGCCCGTTCTGATGTTCCCGTTCGCAATTATATTGATGAATTTGCTTTTGCCTTGGCCATACCAGGCATGATATTTGGTGTACTATGTGGTATTCTAACTGCCAGTTTGTGTTTCAAACATCAGAAATTGTAAGTACTTAGAAATAAATTTTAATTCGAAACATTTCATTCTTTCAATTATTTGGAATTGAAAATTAATTTTTCGTGAATTTTCGATAATTTTTTTTATAGACAATTTTTGATAAATTTTCTTTTTACAGAAAATTTTCGATAAATTTACATTTAATAGATAATTGTTCCTTTTACAGAAAATTATTGTTGATTTTTTTTTTAGAAAATTTTCGTTGAATTTTCTTTTAATAGAAAATTTTTGATACATTGTTAAGCTCACGAACTAAGACTAAGTTAACAGGCCTCATTTTTATTTATTATTTTTAATATTATTTTTTTATTTATTATTTTTTATAATTTGTATTTTTTGTTTTAGACACGATCCACAATCGGAATACTTTTTCGATAATATTTTTCATATTTGTGAAGAAGAATGTGTTAATTCTGCACATGACTCTGAATCAGAAGATGAAAAACAAAATGAAGATAATAACAAAAATAAGAAAAGGTGCCAGTGCATTTTATAGTTATTTATTTGGTTTTTAAAATCTTTTTTTGAAAATTACAAAAATACCAAACATTTTGATAATTTTTTTTTTAAATTTTCTGTAGCTATAAGGAATCGTACCCTACTACATCTTCGACTGTACAAATGGTACAATATTCGGATACAAATTCTCAACCTGTTACTACTCTAAAAAGTTTAAAGGACCCCAACTGTTTATTGGATAATATAAGCATGCGTTCACAAAGGTAAATCAAATTATATTCTAATCGTTATGCATTGAAAAAAATTCCTCTTGTATTTTAAAGTCCCAATAGCTATTATCAAGCAGATAGTCCACCCAATACCTATTTGCGTCCCAAACCACCACCATATAAGGGCGGCACCTTGTCTCGCAGTGGTGTGGATATTTGACAACCAACTACTCCACGTATTTTGTATTGTTAGAGAAATGCAAAATGAGGAACTGAAGAGAAAACTGTAGCACTTATAGACATTAAATAAACTGACATAATAATCAATTAATATTGAAAATATTTACAGAGAAAAATATTTGCTAATCAGTTGCTATATATCATTAAAAACTAGTCACGATTTCAAATAATGTAGGAATTACATATCTATTACTCTTAATAACTATTAATAACAATATTTTACAATAAAAAGTTAGAACTTATTAACGTTAAAAAATGAATGATTATTCAATGAGTTAATTTATTGTAATTATTTGTACAATTTACAGTTTTTCCGAAAATTATATTTTTCATTTTTTTTTTTAAGTTTATTAAATAAAAAGCGTTTTGTTGTTTTTTTCGATAGAAATTTATCAAATCGGTCCATTTCAAATCGTATGAGATCCATCACACACACCCAATAAAAGAAAAATTAAAAAAATATCTATAAATGTAAAATTTATCAAAAAATTTCTACAAAAGTAAGATTTATCGAAAATTTTCTATAAAAGTAAAATTTGACGACATTCATGGTTCATTTCTAATCCTTTTTCTTTTTTTTATATGTACATATGTGATGTAATACATATAAAAAAAGAAAAGTTTATAAACATTTCTATAAAAGTAAAATTTATCGAAAATTTTCTATAAAATTAAAATGTGTCGAAAATTTTCTATGAAAGGAATTATTTTCGAAAATTTTTTATGAAAGGAAGATTTATCAAACATTTTTTAATTAAAGGAATATCTATCGAAAATTTTTTTATAAAAGAAAAATGTATCGAAATTTTTTTAATAAAAGAAAAATGTGTCGAAAATTTATCGAAAATCTTTTAATAAAAGGAAAATTTATTAAAAATTTTTAATGAAAGGAAAGTTTATCGAAAATTTTCTATAAAAGTAAAATTTATCGAAAATTTTTTTATAAAAGTAAAATTTATCGAAATTTTTTTCTTGAAGTAAAATTTATCAAAAATTTTCTATTAAAGAAAAATTTTACGAATATTTTCAATAAAAAGAAGATTTATCGAAATTTTCTATAAACAGGAAGTTAATCGAAATTTCGAAAGCGAAAATTTATCGAAAATGTATAGGAAAATCGTCTATAAAAGGAAATTTTTAGAAATTTTATCGACAAAAGGAAAATTTATCGAAAATATTTTATAAAAGGAAAACTCATCGAAAAATCTTCTATAAATTAGTTTTTTATATAAAAATCTTATAAATAAAGAAAATATTTTATGAGTATATTGAACATTTTCTAAATTACAGAAACTATCAAAAACATTTCATTAAATTGAGAATTTACTGAAATTTTTCTATATGTATAAGAATTTATTAAGTAATTGCTCTCTTTTAATGTAACTTTTCGCTAAATATAATCATTCCACATAAACAGAATTTTTACAAATTTCCAATCTGGCATTACTGTATGTGGAGCATGCTCAAAAGATTTTTTAAAGAGAGTGCACGATTATCATAAACATTCACAATAGCCGCGGAAACCAAACAATTGTTTTTTTTTCATTTTTCTCTTCCAAGTGCACTAGTTAAACAAACAGAAAAAGAAAGTTTTCGTTTACTGATAAGTAATCAATTTGACGACATTAAATGAAAATCTTCTATTAAATAACCTTAATCTGTGTACAAAGTGTTAAAACAACAACATGTTGACTCAACTTCTTAAAGATTCTTACGAATTAATAGATAAATACAATATTCATATAGTGAATACAATTTTCATTGGTTTCACTATAATAATTGTGCTGTTGGGTAGTCTAATGAATCTGGTGGAACCGTTGCTACCAACATTTATCAGACAATCTTATCGCTATGGCAAACACTGTCACAAGGGCACAGAAGATAAATTGGTATCAAAAATGGAGGTGCCCAAGTCATGGTTTGCACACTTTTATGTGTTTGCCTTCAGCTGGTCCATGTTGGCTTTATATCTGGTACTTAAAGGTATAATAATGCATATGGAAGCACCCGAATATGTATTAGAGTTTTTAGATTTTGTGGCTGGCGGTGCGGCAAATCGTAAAGTTTTAATCGATTCGAATAGTGCTTTAGTGGCCAGTGTATTGATGACTTTACAATGTGGCCGGCGTTTCTATGAGACGAACTTTGTGCAAATATTCTCCAAGAAGAGCAAAATTAATTTATCCCATTATTTAGTGGGTTATTTGCATTATTTTGGTGCCATATTGGCTTTGCTGAGTAATACCGAAGGTTTTGTTAGAGGTAATTCAAAAAAAATTGAATATATCATGATTTTCATTAATATTGCTATTCTATTTTAGGCTCTACCCCCTCTACCTTTAGCTTTGCCAAAATTTCCATACTTCAGTATATTTGCATTTTCTTGTTCCACTTCAGTTGGTCACAACAGTACAAGTCAAATATGATTTTAGTTAATTTGCGTAAAGATGCTAAAACCGGTCAAGTAGCTACTGAAAAACATCTTTTGCCTTCAGGTGGTTTCTTCAATTTCATTTCATCGCCTCATATGTTCTTTGAAATACTAATGTATGTTGTTTTATTGGGTCTTTTGGGTCAGAGTTTCACTTGGAAATTAGTTGTTGTATGGGTGTTAAGTAATCAGGTGAGTTGTTTTTCTTAATCATTAAGAATTGCATTAATATGTCTTTTATTTTAGATCATGAATGCTTTGTTGACTCACCAATGGTATAAAGAAAACTTTAAAAATTATCCCAAAATTAGGAAGGCCTTAATTCCTTTTATTTTATAAAGGAAGACAGTGAGTTGGGTGTAATATATTGAGACACATTTTTTTTTATCAACATCATATCACATTCTATTTAGACAAAAACTGTAACTTATTTATGTATAAATGTAATTTTATGAGATTAAATAAATTAAATTAAGACAGAAACAGCATTTTGATTATTTTCTTTAAATAATGAAAATAACAATAATTCTCTTTTAATAGAATTATTGATTTATAAATAAATAATTTAAAACAAAATTAAATTTACCTAAAATCTAGATTTCTCAAAAATCTTTACGGACGACCAAATTTCCCCCTAAAATCCAATTTATACCTTAATATGAAACTGAAATCATTTCAAAACTATACGACATTTTCCTTTTTTGTAACTAATATAAATAAAATAATTGAAAAAGATCCTTTTTATTGTGGGTTTTTTTTTTAATATGTTTTATACAAAACAAAAACATTACTTCATTTGCAAAATTTGAAATATATAGGAAAATCTATAATATTTCTAAAATGTTTTATTTATTTATTATCTCGTCTTCAGGAATTTTTGAACTCAGTGCAATTAATTTATTTAAAAAGAAAACTGGAAAATAATAAAAAGAATATTTATAGTTAAAAAAAAAAAATATAAACAATGTAAAATAATTCACACAAATACCTGTAAGGATAACCCTGAGCTTTTGAGCGAAATACCGATAACAGAAATGAAAAGAAAATAGCCAGAAAAGCTAAACCAACTATGGCCATAATACGTCCCTTGCGCTGGTCCGTTTGACTTCCAGCCTCCGTTAGCAAAACCATGCCAAAGAAAATTAAAGCATCTAGAGGAAATAGAGTTGTATAAGAGATCAGTGCCAGAAATTAAAAAAAAAAAAACTACTTACTTAAACCTAAAACAATATAGGTCTCTACGACTAATTGACCCTGAGATGAGCCGTGTATGTAGGCAACACCACCATTTTGTGATTTATGCACCAAAGGTGGACCACGTATGTGATTCCACATCTGTCCCGAAATCATGGTGAAACAGAAGAACACCGCTATGGCACCCCATATCGATTTGTTGTACAAGAATTCCAAATTATTACGTCTCATATACAGGAAGCCACCAACCAGGGCAGCCAAAGTAATCATAGCCACCGTACCCGAATAGTTGGGTGGACGGAATACACGTATCTGTACGTCGGTACGCTCGGCCACAAATTTAGCTATAGCATCAGCAGCAAAACCTACACGATGTATATCCATAGTATCAGCACCTTTCGGTTTACCCTTGGCGGGGAAATGCATAAAGACCGGTGCGGTATTCAAGCGTAACATTTGAAAAACATCTGAACCCTCATCGAAATCGACCATGGCAAAGAAGACCTTGTTCGAGTAGACCGGTGAAAATCTGTAAGATTGGGCGACAATTTGGAATTCATCATGGGCATGTCTACAGATTTGACATTGACGTGAAGGTGCCAAGGCGGTCAACATAACAATCATCGAATAGTTACGGGGTGAATTCTTAACATATTCCCTAAACTTTTGGCCATTGAAACGTAAGAGGGCCTTTTTATTATTCATCTCCATTAAGTTTTGCACCTTTTCCGATATGGATAGGCCGACCTATAAATAGAAAACATCATAATTTACCGGCATTTTATCGGCTTGTGTACATTTTTTCATTACAACCACAATGACGTGGCCTATTAGCAGACACCCTGTATTTGTTGGTTTCTTGTATTATTTTACCTTTTGTTTACTTTGGGCCGTTGTGCTCAGGATTAAAAAGCCAGCCATCAATATCACTGCAAACAGCAAGGTTTTATATAAAACTTTCATTTTGCTGTTTGTATTAATTAAAACTACTTAAATTAAATAGATAAAATTGTTAAATTTTTCCTCTTCGCAGGCACCTCGACAAAACACTAAACGAAAAAAAAAACTTTGCTATCGCTCTCTCAATACAATTGAGAAGAACAAGCATTTGACAAGTGTCAAGATAATTATTGTGACTTATTGAGGGATGCCAATGTTTAGCAAAAATGCAACAGGGGAATAGAAACAAAGTTATGTTATTTTGACAAGATGGATATAACAAGATTTTTAATAATTAGATTTTTCTATAGCTAAACAAATTATTATGAATAAACATTAGAGTATAAATAAATCGATAGTATATTTAATACTCATAAGAAATTATATTGTACTGGCAACCTTCTTAATAATTGTGAATGATGTTGTGCATGAGTGCAGTTAAAAAAGTGGTGCCAAATTTTTATTTGCGAAATTGAAGCAACATTTATTTTAGGTAATCTATAATTCACAGAAAACTTTGGAATTTGATAGCTCCGTTAATAGAAACATTGTTTTTATATATGAAATATGACAGTCTCAATATAAGTTTTACTAGATTAATTGTTGCAATAAAGCCTACTTGTATAAATTCTTCTTATAACAAAAAGCCGCTCTCATTTTTCTTCAACACTGCCGCATTGTTTTATTAATTATAAATTTATAAAACTTTTTTAAACGAAACAACATAAAAAATATATATATATAACAATAAATTTAACAACTATTATTAGTGCTGCAGCAAAGCACTAATAATGAGTGATGTTTTAAAAAGCTCTCAGGAGCGTTCTCGTAAACGTAAACAATTGTTAGCACAAACGGTAGGCAAGAAACGACAAAGAAGGCTCATTCGCAAATTTCACCAAATTTTTTATAACTTTCCATTACAGCTGGGTTTGTCAAGTGTTGATGAATTGAAGATTGCTTTGGGCACAGCAAACGATTCAAATCCTAGTGCTAGCTTAAGTTCCGGCAATTTTGGCACAAGTGCTCTTAAAGGTGTTACTGTCCACAATAATCAACGTGCCGGCGGTGGCGTTCAGGACGATGATGAGGGAGTGGTGGCCAAAAAGACACCAGGAGAAATTATTTATAGGGATTCATCAACATTTTTAAAGGTAACCGACAAATTATTCGCCATCAAAAATAAATTGTTATCAATATTTAATGACCAAATTCCAGGGTACACAATCATCTAATCCTCACAATGATTACTGCCAACATTTTGTCGATACCGGTCAAAGACCACAAAATTTTATACGTGATGTTGGTTTAGCTGATCGCTTTGAAGAGTATCCCAAATTAAGGGAACTTATAAGGCTTAAGGACAAATTAATACAGGATACCGCTTCGGCACCCATGTATTTGAAGGCCGACTTGAAACATTTAGATATTAAAACATTGGGGACCAAATTTGATGTTATTCTAATAGAGCCGCCTTTAGAGGAGTATGCCCGAGCAGCGCCTTCGGTGGCTACAGTGGGTGGGGCACCGAGAGTCTTTTGGAACTGGGATGAAATATTAAGTGGGTTATGCACAAACTAATTTTTTGCATTATTTAATGATTTTCTCTAATTTTTCACAGATCTTGATGTTGGCGAGGTAGCTGCACATCGTTCATTTGTCTTCCTTTGGTGTGGTTCTTCGGAGGGTTTGGATATGGGCCGCAATTGCCTGAAAAAATGGGGATTTAGACGTTGCGAGGACATTTGCTGGATACGCACCAATATTAATAAACCCGGTCACTCTAAACAGTTGGAACCCAAGGCTGTTTTCCAGCGTACTAAAGAACATTGTTTAATGGGCATTAAGGGCACCGTAAGACGTTCAACGGATGGAGATTTCATTCACGCCAACGTCGATATTGATTTAATTATATCCGAAGAGGATGAATTTGGTTCCTTTGAAAAACCCATAGAAATCTTTCATATTATAGAACATTTCTGTTTGGGTCGACGACGTTTACATTTGTTTGGTCGTGATTCCAGCATTAGACCTGGTTGGCTAACTGTGGGACCCGAATTAACAAATTCCAATTTCAACGCCGAACTTTATCAGACCTACTTTGCGGAGGCACCCGCAACCGGCTGTACTACACGTATTGAGTCGTTAAGACCTAAAAGTCCTCCAGCTAATAGTAAGATTATAAGGGGACGTGGTCGCGGTTTTGGTCCTCGTGGTCGTGGTAGAGGCAGATAAAAATGTGGATTAATACTTTTTAATACTGAATTACAAGTTTTTTTTTCTTTTAAACACCTATAATACTTATATTTTAATAATCAGTGTTCTTTTTCTCATCAGTATAAGTTTTTCTTTTCTTTTTTTTTTATAATAATTCTCATTTTAGTAACAAAATTAAAGATTTACATAAAGTTTACTTATCGTCTGCAGAGTTATTTATGAAGGGAAAAACAGAACAAAGGTTGTGGACTATTTAAAAAATAAGAGAGACGGGGACGAGGGCAAAAGGAAAGAAAGGAAGCGAAGGCGGGGACGAGGGCGGGGGGGGGAAAACGAGCCAGATCAGTGAAGGGGCAGCCGGAAGGGACGGAACAAGGGAAGAGAGCACAGGCGCAAAGGAGACCGAACAAGGGCGAGAGCGAGCGAGCGAGCGAGCGAGCGAGCGAGCGAGCGCGAGCGAGAGACGAGCGAGCGAGCGAGCGAGCGAGCGAGCGAGCGAGCGAGCGAGCGAGCGAGCGAGCGAGCGAGCGAGAGCAGCGAGCGAGCGAGCGAGCGAGCGACGAGAGAGCGAGCGAGCGAGCGAGCGAGCGAGCGAGCGAGCGACGAGCGAGCGAGCGAGAGACCGAGCGAGCGAGCGAGCGAGCGAGCGAGCGAGCGAGCGAGCGAGCGAGCGAGCGAGAGAGCGAGCGAGCGAGCGGCGAGCGAGCGAGCGAGCGAGCGAGCGAGCGAGCGAGCGAGCGAGAGAGCGAGCGAGCGAGCGAGCGAGAGAGCGAGAGCGAGGAGCGAGCGAGAGCGAGCGAGCGAGCGAGCGAGAGCGAGCGAGAGAGCGAGCGAGCGAGCGAACGAGCGAGAGAACGAGCGAGAGAACGAGCGAGCGAGCGAGCGAGCAGCGAGCGAGCGAGCGAGAGAGCGAGCGAGCGAGCGAGCGAGCGAGCGAGCGAGCGAGCGAGCGAGCGAGAGAGAGCGAGCGAGCGAGGAGCGAGAGAGCGAGCAGCGAGCGAGCGAGCGAGCGAGGGAGGGAGGAGAGAGGACGAGGAGCGAGAGAGAGAGCGAGCGAGCGAGCGAGCGAGCGAGCGAGCGAGCGAGCGAGCGAGCGAGCGAGCGAGCGAGCGACCGAGCGAGCGAGCGAGCGAGCGAGCGAGCGAGCAGCGAGCGAGCGAGCGAGCGAGCGAGCGAGGGAGGGAGGAGAGAGCGACGAGCGAGCGAGCGATCTAGCTAGGAGCTAGCGAGCTATAGATCGATCTATATATCGATCTATCTATCTATCTCTATCTATCTATCTATCATCTATCTATCTATCTATCTATATACTATCTAATATCTATCTATCTATCTATCTATCTATCTATCTATCTATCTATCTATCTATCTATCTATCTATCTATCTATCTATCTATCTATCTATCTATCTATCTATCTATCTATCTATTCTATCTATCTATCTACCTATCTACATGTAATCATTGTGTAGTAATTACCGTTCCTGTGAAGTTTTGTTTTTATGCATGGCAAATGTTCTGCAGTTTACAGTTTTTCTTATAATTCAGCAATAAAACTAATTAGGAAAACCTGATACAATTTACAAAAAAAAAAAAAAAAATATATATACATTTATCTTAAAAATTTCATTAGATAAATAAACCTTTTTTATCGTACCTTTTTTAATTCTTAACATTTTTTATATACATTTTACAAATATGATTTGTTTTCTTCTTAGTTAAAATTAAAATTTAATTATGCCTTTGTAGACTATGGTGTTTATTCAAATGTGACATATAAATATCTAATTCATCTTCGGATTCTTCATCTTGTTCCATTTTGTTAGATGCACTTCCTTCAACGTTTCCCTCATCACCATCATCATCTGCATCTTCCTCATCACTTTCTTCGAAATACTTATCTTCTTTGTCTTGATTTATTAAAGTTAAATCATCGAACTGAGTATTATCGTCAACATTGGTATAGTCGAAATCCTCATCTTGTCCCGTTAGAAATTGTTCATGCATTTGACTTATAAATTCTTGCCTTAAAAGTTCTCTCTCATCGGCTGTTATTAAATCCTTCAGAGGTGGTGGTGTAGTACTTAACTTCCTTTTAACAGGTGACTTTTTTAACTGTATTTTACTTGTGGAACAGGCAATTTGTTCATTATCAAAATTACCCCACTGTTGGCGGCAATTGATAGGAATTTCCTCATCTTCTTTTTCGAAATTATCTAAAATACCCTTTTCCACATGTTGCTCCTCCGTTGTTGAGGAGAGTTGGAAATTTTCTTGTACATGCTGCTCTGCTTTTTTCATTACCTCATTCAATTGTTCCTGCTCTAGATTGTGCATGAGTATGCCAGAAAATGTGGTATTTCTAACATCGTAACTATCTCGTTGTTGTTTTTCTTTGCTACTCAAATATTGTCCTACCAGCTCCTGATACAATTCCGGCTGCCGTTTCATCATTTCTTGTTCACTAAAATACTCACCTTCTTTTATAAGTTTTTGTAAAGCGGCGTAACGTCTATTTTTGACGTCCCTCTGGCGTGTTTTTAATTTTTCCTGATATTCTTTTACCATTAGATGCATTTCTTCGTCACTATCGGCTATCGAGAGTCTAGCAAAATCTTGTAAATGTTTTTCTTCTAAATATTGACCAAAACGTATAAGAAACGTTTGCGGATTTCTTTGATAAACATCTAATGCTACTTTTAGTTTTTCTGATTGTTGCAACTCGGGTTCATCTCGTTGTTGGGACTTAAACATGATTTTTGCATTTAAGCTTAAGAAATCCATTATATTCATAATTTCTTGGGGCAAAGGAGCAGTTGTGTCTGGTGCTGAATCCTGGCAGGCAGTTTCTGTAGGATTATCTTGGTGTCTAGTTTCATTTTCCGTTGTTTCTTCTAATGTGGTTGTCATTGTAACTGTTTTTAGGGTAAAAATTTAAGGTTTTTCTTGTTAATTTTGTAAATTATTAATTATTTGTTAAAATTTTGTTTTTTATTTACCTTTTATGTTTAATTTTAATATTATTGTGAGCAAAAAAAAAAAATTGTCAGTCCGCTGTTTGTTTTTGTTTTGATTTTTAGCTAGAATGCTGCCATATGTAAAAAATATAGCGATTATGGTATTACCTTTTAGTGATACCATTTTTAAAATGAGAAATAACTGTGAATAAATATGCAGTTAAAACTTATTTTTTTGAAATGTATAAAATATGCTTTAAAAGTAAAAGCATTAATTAATTTCATAACATGGAGAGTAGGGTTCTATAAATCGACTTTCGAATAATCGACTTTTTGTTCCAAAAAAGTCGATAACTCGACTATCGTCTGTGAAAAAAGTGGAAAAGTCGACTTTGTTAATAAAAGTCGAAAAAAATCGAAAAGTCTGAAAGTCGAAAAAAGTCGATAAGTCGAAAAAAGTCGAAGAAAGTCGAAAAAAGGCGAAAAGTCGAAATGTCGGAAAAAGTCGAAAACTCGAAAATTGTAGAAACAAGTCAAAAATAGTCGAAAATTTTAAAAAAGTGGAAAAAAAGTAAAATAGTCGGAAAAACTCGAAAAAAGACAAAAAATAGTCTGAAAAAAGTCGAAAATAGTCAAAAAGTCGAAAATAGTCAAAAAGTCGGAAAAAGTCGAAAAAAGTCGGAAAAAGTCGAAAAAGGTCGAAAAAAGTCGGAAAATGTCGGAAAGTCGACTATTTATAAAATACTTATAGTCGAAAAGTCGACTTTTCATAAAATGCAAAAAGTCGAAATGTCGACTTTTAACTAAATGAAAAAAAGTCGAAAAGTCGATTTTTCGTTTCAACTATAGAACCCTAATGAAGAGTCTACTTGTATAATCAACGGCATGCAACACAGATCGGGCACCACTAGTTTTTAAATAAATAAAAAACATTTAGCAACACAAAGATACCGTTACCGAAATAAGCCAAAGTACCGATACCGATAAAATTTTAAATACCGATGCCATTATATTTTTGCCGTTTCGAAATGGTTGCCAACCTTGATTTTAATTACATTTTCGCTGAATTCAATTATAACTTTTTGCTGAAAAATAAACTTTTAGGTGGAAATTTTTAATAAATGAATTGTAAATAATAGTGAAAGTAAAAAGAATTACGAAGACATAAAATATTAAGAGAAAATTTTAAATTTATTTTTAACAATTTTTTATTGTTTATTTATATTTTTTTAATACATGATAATTAATAATTATTATTGCATATACTTCGTATATAATTAACAATATTATGTTTATGTATACATACTTAAAAAACCGACACACATAAATAAACAAACGAAAACAATATTAACGATGAATTACATATACTAATAAAAACTTTAATTTAAAATTGTTTATAAATTAAAAATATCTAGTTTGTGGATAGTATGTTTAAGAAAAGTGTTTGCATTATTTTATTATAATACTGTAATTAAGGTTTTTCCGGTTAAAACCAAAATTATCAACACATTTTCAGCGACGACACCTTATTAAATAACAATTAATAACAATATTAGCAAAAAGAAGAGGTATATGTTTATGTGTAGTGATATAATATAAAAAAATAACATTCAAATGTTTAAAAAAAAAAAAAAACTATAAAGTAATTAATAAAATCTTTTATTCAAATGTTAATGCTATAGAGGTGAATGGAAGTATAGGACATGTGGGTTCTAATTGCAAGGCCGTTGCCATACAGTCAGCCGAGGCGGTATATTCACCCAATGATTCTAGAACTTTGCCTAAAGTAAACCTGTAATTGTAAATAAAAAATTTTAATTACTTGAATAATATCCATAAACAATAATAAAAATTTACCATATT